GTGTGAGTGTGAGTGTCTGTGTCTGTGTCTGTGTCTGTGTCTGTGTGAGAGTGAGAGTGTGAGTGTCTGTGTCTGTGTCTGTGTGTGTATGTACAATCTGTCAATATGGTACCCGTCAAATTACAACTCCTACTCTCTGTTACATCAAAATCAAGAGGAAAATGAAACGGTTGCCCACATCTTAAATGGATGTTGTTGTTACAAAGGACTGTATGTGTCCAGACACGATCGTCTGGTTGATCTGATTGTAAAGGACTTATAAACAATACATAAAGACAGTAAGTTTTACCAGCATACTACTGTTGAATTGAACTGGTTTTATGACAACACATCTGACAGTGACTATTTCAAAAACATTCCAAACACTCTTTGGACACAAGGACATTGTGATTGTAAACAAGGCTTTGAACTCTGTATTTGTCATTGAGGTTGGCTGTTGTTTTGATCTGTATTTGGATACATGATATCTTTCCAAATTGCTGAAATATCAGCCATTGGTTGAAGCCATCCATCAACGTGACTATCATTGTAAGTTAATTACCCTAGTATTTGGAAGTTTAGGTCATGTGCACGAGAATGTGATTAAAGAACTGCAGTTGAGTGGATTGCAAAAAAAGAAAGCAAAAAAACTCGCAAAATTGTGTTCAGTTTCAGCCACTATAGGGAGTATGCAAATATGGAAACGAAGATGTTTTGTCTATCCTTGAGTGTTGAATGTTATAAATATAATTGTGTGTGTGTGTGTGTTTCCATCAGGTTGTTTTGTCTGAGAACACAGACGGGTTGGTCGTGGTCACATGACATTAATAGTGTCTGTTAGCGACAGGTTTGACTGCTTCTCACGAGATCTGGGTTTGAGTTCGTTCAAACTCTGTGTGCAGGGTTATTATCGTTAAAACCATAAAAAACATTTTTTTGCTTGAAAATAAATAAAGTACTAAACAACTAATAAATAATAAAACTTAATAAAAACTATGTAAACATAAAAAATAATAAAAATTACATAAATACACAAGAAAAGTACTAACATTTTAATTAAAATATAAAAATAAAATCTAATTCAAAATATTAACATCTGTAACAATGAAAAATACTCCTAAAGCATTTATTAATCTTAGTTCATGTTAATCTCAACATTTACTTATACATTATTAAAATCAAATGTTATATTTCTTAACACTAGTTAGTGCACTGTGAACTAACATGAACATTTTTATTAACCACATTAACAAAAGTTAATAACTGCTGTAAAAATTAAAGTATTACCAGATTATTGGAATATGTTTTACAAGAAAATAAAAATATTTCAGTTTTTCTACTTCAAAATTTCATTTAATCCAACTTGCCTTTTCTCTTAATAAAAAGTTCAAAAGAACAGCATTTATTCAAAATAGAAGTCTTTACTGTCACTTTTTATCAATTTAACACGTCTTTGCTGAATGAAAGTATTAATTTCTTTCAAAAATAGAAAGAATAAAAATCTACTGTCCCTAAATTTATGAACGGTAGTGTATATTGTTAGAAAAGATTTCTATTTTAAGTAAATGCTCTTCTTTTGTAACTTTTTTATTCATCAAAGAATCTTGAAAAATGTTACAAAACAATATTAAGCCGCAAAAACTGTTTCCAGCATTGATAATAAATCAAGCACGTGACACTGAAGACGGGAGTAATGATGCTGAAAATACAGCTGCGCATCACAGAAATACATTACAGTTTAACAGATATTAAAATAGAACACTGTTATTTTAAATTGCAATAATATTTCACAATTGTAATGTTTTTTCTGTATTTTTGATCAAATAAATGCAGGCTCGATGAGCAGAAGAGACGTCTTCAGAAGAGAATTCTTACTGATCCCAAACTTTTGAACGGTAGTGTATATATATATATATATATTATTATTTGTTTTTTTTTTTTTATTTTTTTTTATTTTTTTTTTTACAGTGCATGAAAACCGTTTTGGTTTCAGTGTTTCTGGAGGTTCAGTCTCAGGTTTAGTCTCTGATAAACGCTCGACTGTGAAACTGAAGCTGAACGAGTGGATCATTCCGGCGTGATGAAGCACAGGCTGGAGTTTATCCAGAGTCTGGAATGTTATTTTGCCCGAACACAAACACGGCTGGAGCGACTCGAAGTGCACAAACGCCTGCTGAATCCAGTGCCCGGGACAAATCTGTGAGAACTTTTGCATGTGTTTTCATCCAGTGGTCACCTTGTCACTGGTGTTTTAAATTTCGTTTGTATATCATGATTGATGCCCAACCTTCCCTTTATTATTTCCATTGGTTTGTGTCGATGCAGAATGACGTTCTCAAGCCGTCAGGCAGCATCTGAATCCTCCTAAATGACCATTCAGTTTGTATTTTTCAGAATGAGTTCAACCGTCAGTCTCTGCCTCTCTCATTAAAGCATAGTTTGCATTGTTTACCGCATTTTCCGCCCTCGGCGTGTTTGATTGGCGTTACACAAACACACACACACACACACACACATATTCAGACTGATTCTTCAAGGGCCACCTGCGCCGCTAGACCAAACACACACGTCTGAACCTTCACCAATGCTGTGCTAACGCAACCCATCCGGCCTAGTTAATCCAGAGCTGGTGAAGTCCTGTGACTAGTCTCTCTGAGGATCACCCGTCTGAATGAGGGTCACTGAATATGTACAACAACACAGACAAAGTTTGTTTCTTCATCAGGTTTGTAGAAATGCAGCATTGCATCAGTGTCTCAGCAATGGGTGCTCTGCAGTGAATGGGTGCCGTCAGATCCATTGCTGAGACACTGATGCAATGCTACATTTCTACAAACCTGATGAAGAAACAAACTCATCCTGATCTGGGACTGCCTGAGCGTGAGCACATTTTCAGTTTTGGGTGAACTGTTCCACTAATGTACAGGAGAAAAGATGAACTATATTCACTATAATATCACATGACCTTGTTTTTATAAAACTCTCACTAACAATCAGCTTCAGGACTTCCGCCATATATTTTATGATGTCTGTCTGCTGTTTCCCACAGTCGGTTCTCAGTGAGCGAGAGGCTCTGTCTCTGTCTTTGTCTCTCTCTCTCTGTGTTTCTCTGCTTTGTCATTCCCATGGAAATTTGCAAGCATCTGGAAAATAAAATCAAGTCAAAGAATGCTCAATGATGGAAAAAAATAATATATATATATATATATATATATATATATATATATATAGTCGGCCCTGAATGTTTGGTCAGGTTTGGTCAGATTTAAACTCATTTCTAAGGTCAAATTTGCTCCCAAACTGCAGCTAAACACACACACACACACACATGCGCGCCCCTCCTCTCTCTGTCTGTCTGGCTCGACTGCGATCAGGAACAACCCTTGAGAAAGAGACGGGGGAGAGGCGGAGCTTTGACCTCTCATGACCCCTCATGACCCTTCCGGCACCCTGCGTCTGATCTCTGAATGTGAGTGTGAGAGAGTGTGTGTGTGTGAGTGTGTGTATGTGTGTGTGGACAGTCAGTCATTATGAATGTGTGTTTGTGTCTGGCTCTGCGCTCGTGGCTCACTTCACGTCCTCGCACCATCAGCTGTCTCGCACTCTTTTTGTTTTCATATGCAAAACCGGCTCGCACAGACAATTCAGTCTAGACCGGTGGTGCTCAGGCCCATCTGCCGCGGGGTGTGTGGGGATGCAGGAGCTTCAGTGTGAGTTTAACTCTGGTGGATGTGGCATCATGCAGCTCCGTGAGGCGGACGCTTCGCAGCCGTGTGTTCAGATGCGCTGCAGCGGTGAGTCTGACGCTCTTTATAGTGTTTTAGAGAAGCTGGAGGCTCAGGCTGCTGGGTTTGTCTGCTTAATATTATGTTATTTCATTATTTTGGGTCAGTCCTTGTACTTGCAAATGTAATGGTACACTTGAGGACAGTTTTCTGTGTCTGAACTTCTTTTAACATTAACTGTGATACTGACTAAACTATGAAAATATCTGCGTATCTACTATTCAACAGTTTGTGAGCTTTAAAGAAATTCATACTTTTATTCATCAAGGATGCATTAAATTGCTCAAAAGTGACAGTAAAGATAGTTATAATGTTACAAATATTTCTATTTCAAATAAATGCTGTTTTTTTTAACTTTCTGTTCATCTGTGAATCCTGAAAAATAAAATGCATCACAGTTTCCATAAAAATATTAATGTTTTCAACATTGATAATAATCAGAAATGT